ATTTGCGAATCACTGTCAGCAAGTAGGAGATTAGGTAGCCTATTTGAGTATGATCAAACATGTTTGTCAGGGATAAATACATACCCACAGTCGAATTGCCTTACCCACGTTGATATATCCCCTCTCCTGGTTACACATTTTAGGCACATATGTATTTTTCTACACCTTACGGCATTGCCGTTGGGGGTTCCTCAAAAATGTCCGATTCTCTCGAAGCATGTGATGTTGCCCGCCTCAACACATGCCGGTGATTTCTCGGTGTGCACGGTGGGTACACGTCGACAACGGTAGCAAACTTTGCTCAGAAACAACCACCTACGCTTTTCTTTTTCGACTGGATTCATGGCGCGTGAAATTTACAGCCACTACTGTGAATTTGTCTGCATTTTAAACGCAATGACCAGATCCACTAGTTGGGAAGTTGAACGACGGTAATTCACTTTTCTGGGGTTACACAGTTCCCAAAGCTCCGCGCACGTGACGCACCTAACCTTCCTTTCTCCCCAACAAAAGCTTTAGTATGGCGGTCGGGCAAATACAAGATCATAAACAAAAGCACGGGTTGGGCTACCGAATCATATATGACAACGAATACGCCACCCCTAGCTCCTGAAACGACTCGGAAACCCTGCATACTTTCAAGGTCTAACTTAAATTTTAGCCGTTGTATCAACTAGGAATCGGATATAGTTTGGTCATTCACCACCGTTTCCAATCAATGGACATTACTTCATAGCGCGTCAGTCGCTTACTTCTTAACGGTCACGTAAAACACATCAGTTGTGTAAGTGTTATCCAACCATCATTAATTTAAATACGAAAATGCACTTCTCGAAATTTGTTCACAGTTGCTTAACATCCATTTTTTCAACGGTCCTAGTGTGGGTATGACACAGCCACGATCACTTGTTGGGTCGTTTTGATTGTGTCGCTCACCAAAGTTGATGGGTTACCAGTTTTCTCATCTCATTCTTGACTGTGACAATAATGAGTTTGTTTACTTGATCTGAGGTTAGTGGCATGCTCATTTTAGAGGCCTACTTGCCGGAAATGGCAAACTTAAGGTCCTCTTAGCAGCGCTAACTTCGATCGGGAGGGTGGGTATAGGAACTTTCACCGGTTACACAGCGCTCACAGCTGAAAACAGCTATGAATATGCCCCAGTTACGGTGAACAATCAAGGTAGCTTGTCTGCTCCACAACCATAACTCATCGCAAAGGTTTAAATGCTGGTCACAGGGGATTAGCATAAAGTGATTATCATGCTTGCAGCACTAGTAATGTTGTTCCTGGTGCGTATGTGTGATCGAAATCGACGAGTAATTTGTGTGCCATCGATAGCACCATTAGAGCACGCTCATACTTGTCCATCAAGCTGTATGAGCGACGCGAAAATGTAATCAATTTCGACAGTTCGCACCAAAGTTTCATTCAAGCCAAGAGGCCATCTTCACTGTTCCTGTTCGTCTGAGTACAACCATGAATCAATTCGGAACGACCCTTCACCAGTGTACAGAAAATCTTTGGGATGTTATACGATTTCACGGTTGTTCTAGAATCACCAGTCCGGCAACCAAATTACTCACTGGGTTTTTGGATGCTCACATTAATAAAATGAGTGTGTATGACTGGTACGATGGTTATATGATTTATTGGTGCTTGTTACTGTCTCAGCTTCTTAAGCCGTTTAGGTCCAGTGACCGGACTGACCAAGTTCGCATCGAAGAGAATCGTGGTTCACATTGAGATTGCGCGTCGCCATCCAGTCACACAACACACATCTCAAAATGACTCCCCAATCAGTCAGTAACCGTTGTGCCAAGGGTTTCCCGTCGTTGCCCCGGGGGCTAAAGGCGTAGAAGTTCCGCATAACACCCCAAAGGTCCCGAGTTCGATACGTGCTCTCTTCACCTGATGAGATCAAATAAGTTCGGAACCGGTCATTGAGTACAGTGTTTTCTGGCGAGCAAGGGCCGATTTCGATTTAGCAGTTCAACAATTTCCACACACGCAACGTTTGCAGTTTTACATAAAATTATCATCCGCTAAGTGGTCCTGTGCTGTACAGAATTGACACGGTCTACTGCAAGTTTTATAAACTCTAATCTTCTACTGACTTCCCAAACATAAAACCTCAGTTCGCTGGTGAACAGCTTCTGGGTGTCATGACAACAACCGAGTCAGTAGCCTGAGTTACACTAATTTATCCCCTTTTTCACCGTTACATGTACAAGTTCAAGCGGGTCTGGAACGATAGGATTATCCCGTGAGTGTTCCTTCTTCGGCGGATCGTTGAACCAGGAGTTGGCGGACTTTGAAATACTGATGGACCTAAAACAAAGGCCGCATCACACCCTGTCCAACCAATTAATGTCCACGTATCTTGCCCTAGCAGTCCCTGCTGGGCCGGTTCCGTGAAGTAAGAAAGAGAAAAAGCACACTCAGAAGGCAAACAGAGAAAGTGGAAAGAGCTAAGCAAGTGGAATATCAAGATATTTGAGTCATTAAAAAAGAACTGAAAAGTGAAGGTGAGTCAGTTATGAAAAAGGAAAGGTTTGGTGTTACCAGCCAAGAGCATCGAGCTGGCGCGCCAAACACTTAAACGTAGGTTCGCTAACCACATGATATGGAGGCGAATTCCAGCGATCTATAACTCGACGCGACAGACGAGTTTTCGTGGTTTATGCAGTTTCAGTGGGTGACCGCGGAGATTAGGTAACGTAGCGGGACCAAATAGCCCTGACAAGTCCGGGTCGATCTTACACGCCAAAATACGATAAGTGCGAATCAGGTCCCCTTTTATTCTTCGGTAATGCATGGAATAAGTCCCCAAACTGAGCAAGCGTTCAGGATACGCCTGTCCCCGTAAACCCTGCACTAACCGATTGCCTACTCATAACACCCTCTTCAAGTCCATTTTGTCTCGGATAAGACATAGTGGACAAGCCTGGGTACAATATTCCAGGTGGGGTCGGAAGAATACCGAGAATAACTTCACAAATAAATTGGCCATTAGGATTCCGAAAGAGCGGCGGATAAACCACATCACACAAAACTCCCGACCAACGGCCTTCTTCCCATTGTCGACAGAATGAAATGCTGATAAGTGTAGGACCCCTAAATCAACCGGCTGAGTGACAACAGGGAGTTCACTACCACCGACAACATATCGGGTAAGAGGATTAGCAGCTCCGATTCGGAGAACAGAGCACTTGGCCCTATTTATGTGCACCAGCCATAAAGTAGATCATTCCCGGATCCTATCCAGGGCATCCTGAATTGCCACAGGACCCCCGGGATATCCACAATATTCCAGAGCTTACGGTTGTCAGCAGACGTTAATGAAGAAACTCCTAGCTCTTCCGGCAAGGCATTTACATAGATATCGAACAACAATGGCCCCAATACCGAGCCCTGCAGGAAGCCACTAAGGACAGCTTAGATGAGCGAAAGGCTATGCCCCACCCATACGCACTGTTCCCTTCCCTCAAGGAAAGCAAACACCCACTGAAAGGCGCGACCAGATATACCGTAAGATCTCAACTTTAGTGTGAGTCGAAGATGAGGAACAGTGTCAACAGATTTCGAAAAGTCCACGAATAACACGTCTACAGCGTGGCGACTGTCTACCGCTTCGACCCAGCTTTCACTAGCTACAAGTAGATTAATCTGACAACAGAAACCCTTGCGGAATCTATGTTGCACAACACTTAGAAGGTCAAATCTATTCAGGTGGTTCTCCACTGAATCCCTTATCAGATTTTCCAACAACTCGACTACTAGGCTTGTCAAACTGACAGGCCGGTAGTTCTCGGGCAGAGCGCTGTCACCGCCCTTAAAAATCGGACAGATGATTTCCTCCTTCCGCTCCGAAGATAGGAAGCAGCTGTCAAGCGATATTGAAAACACGCATGTGAGAGGACCACTCAGCTCCGTGGCCAATTCATGCAACAGCTTCGGATGAACTGAATCAGGACCGGAAGCTTCAGAGGGATTAGTGCCTTGCAGTAGCTCGAAGACCTGAGTCTCCGTTATGTCAAACTCAACTGAGCAAGAATTCTCTGTAACTCTTCAAACCAGTTCAAACTGTGCTAAAGAAGATCTCCCGAGCAAAGACCCCAGTATACTGATCACTAAGTATACAAGCCTTGTCATAGTCAGTTTGTGCACGGGTCCCGTCTGCTCACAATGACGCTGGTATAGACAGTTTTGCCCCACTCGCCTCAAAATTATTACTCCCTAAAGAGATGAGTCACCACTTTTCTAGTCTACAGCTCATCCGTTAGGAAGAGTCTCACATTCATATTGATCAGCAAAGCGTATGGCAACCTACGTCATAGGTCACCCAGAATTGTCCAACTGTCGTGGACTCGTGCTTGTTTTTTTGCTCAACATTTGGTGATGTATTGTCATCCCATCCAGCCCTTTATTTCCTTCATAGGTGGGAGCAAACTTCTTGCGTACAAGTATATGCATATGATTGTCCAGGGTTGGTTATCAGTGAATATTTGGACGGATGCAACTCATTTGTCAGAGATGTTCATACTGGTAGAATGTTCGCCATTGATTCTCTGTAACCGTGTAGTACATACAGGCAATGCAAGGTAGCATGCTTCTAAGATGCCGTGAGAAGCCACTAATGGAGCCACACTCACCATCCGTCCACTTTGAATATCTAGTTCCTAGCACCCCCATAATTCCCAATGAGAACACAACGGGCACATTCACCCGCAAGACACAGAAGCTGTCCCCTCCACCCAGATTGTGATTCACTTCGACTGCGTAAGTTTGGTGGACATCACAGCTGTACTAAAGACAGTGAGGATGTGCTCGGTATCTCAAAGTAAATTTACGTGTTCATAGCTATGTACAGGCATCTTTACAAAATGATCAATGACCATTATATATATCACATAATAGGGAGGCGAGTGTGCAAGTGAGGGTAATCGGAAGGTAGTCGTATGAGACCGTGGAAGGAATGGTACAACGGGGATTGCTAACTAAAATGATACTCTGGATTGCTTTGGAGCATCTAAAGAATGACTAAAACTCCGGAGGATTCGTTTACCGGAAACGGGAGTAGACATTTCTTGCGGGAATACAGGACGATGGCTTGGTAGTGTATTTTCAGCTAAATGCAATGAATCGTCCGAACAGGAAGTTGGCATGGGAACAAGCAGGGAAGTAGAGCTAGGAGTTGGGACGTATTCATGCTCAACTGTGGGTGAGGTAGAAGTCGAATAACACGAAGAGGATACTCCCGACGAGGGACTATGCACAGTGTGGGATTCGTAACTCTCCGGTTGTATCCTACGTATTAAATGAGACTGCTTCGCTTCATTACGTCCCACGTTGTGTATCAAGTGCACGGATTTATGAGCATACTCACTATCTATCTGATGGAAATGCTGTGTATTCGGATGGAGTGCTGCATGAGTCTCCCTTGACTGTCCTGACTCTGGAAGTGTCCTAGAAATTAGACCCAGATACGAGGGAATTTTCCGCGATGCTTCGACGATGGAATCTGGTGAATGGGTGCATGGTTCATAACGCTGTTCGTGTATCAAAGCGTTTCGCTGGAGAGAAGTGCAAGTATGCCATGCATCCACATGGTTTTCATCTTGATGGACGGGCGAAGTACACAAGCGAGGCCACATCGACTGGCACGGTGAGCTTGTGGAATCAGCCACAACAGCCGCTGACTCTTTCCCAGCTATCGGATCATGGAGAGAATAGGAGGAATAGTAACCCGGAGAACGGTAGTGTGAAGTCGCGCAGGAGCTCTCATGCGAGCACTGTGCGTATCCATGGATATGACTGACAGATTCATGCGAGGCCGTGCGTGGCAGTTGTGGAGGGATACCCATAGTCGTGGATATGACTGGGATAAACCGGCGTTCTCTCTTGGTTGGTGGGCCTTCCATTGAGCATTCTTGTGAGTGTAAGGCCGCTTGTCGGTAATTGGTGGAACGCGAGGCCGAACGATCACTGTCTATGGTGATCCCACTTTTGTCCGACAGAGTTTGCGCGTTGTCCAGGTTGAGCTGTTCCATGGTGAACGAGCTATCTCTATGTTCCACACCGCTGTAATGACAACGGAGATGAACAAATAATCAGACCGTGATTGGAACGAAGTCGGAAAGACATTTTTATGCAAATATACTACTTCCATGCATCCCAATGTTATGCTAACGAAAGTAGGAGGAACTATTTGAGAACAGACAAGCTACTGACACAGCCATAGCTAAGCGATGCAAGACAGATATAAGGTACCTCATGAAGAAATGCACCTACAGTGTTAAAAATTCTTAGATTGTTTATAGATGCTATACTTCTCCACAGCTGTACCCGTGCGTTGATATACCTGCTTGCTGAATGTTCATTTTCTTCGAGGGAATGTCGGTCTGCAAACAATACCTATTTTGGAAAGTGGTGTATAGGACAGTATAAAATTCTTCATCAGACACACGCAGGATACCCAACTCGCAACCCATGCGAACTGCTGGTCAGGCCTGCCTCCATTTGTTGAATATTTCCCATATTACTTCGAATATGCTCTGCGTTACGCAAACGACCGTGTATTCACCAGCAGAACGCGTATTGCGAAGGTTTAACTTAACAGAGCTGCTTCTCAAACCATCATTTTGGTTCGAATCCAGCGAATATTTTGCTAACCAGAATTCGATGAGAATATCCACATCTACTATGGTAGAATGGGCAATACGGTGACAATTAAAGATAGGTAACTGGTGCACATTCATTAATCTAGCAGTCAACAAAGGTAATTTAATTTCCATGGACTAAGTTTTATTTGAATCCAGTAACAGGAAGCATCGATAATCTCATTTCGACGGATAATGCATGCTGCCACTATATATAACATTCACACTGAGTTCTCCACAGAATCCAGCATCCAAGACATTGAAACTCACGACAGCAAATAATTCACGCTGACCACACAATTCGGTCGGGACGAGCGAGTGTTTTGTACGATAGTTGCATAGGATTGCATCCACACCCAGCCCTTTTGCTTGGTAAGCAGCCGATAATATGGAGTGGTTACCTGACCTTTGATCAACACTGAGACGAAAGGGAAAGTGGAAACACACGGACGGGGTTGAGTGCAGAAATAGAGGTCACGCATGATTGAGCGACAGTGAGAATACAAAAATCGAGGGGATGAGTAGATTCGTGGTGTCTGAAAGCTGAACCATGTTTCGAAAAGAACACACTCATAGAAGCAGACGTGTGAGAAACAAGTGGAACCAGCAATGATAGTTGACATGAACATCTGTAAAAAATTATTTGGCGTACTTACGCGTTTCGTGCGAGCGACGTAAAGCCAGTGAGTCCACCACGTGAACCAGCTGATACAGGGTTTTGTCAACGAGTTCTTGTGGCTGAAATCCCGTGATGGAGGAAATCCTGGAAAAAGAAGGCAAGTGCCCACGTCTGTTAACATGTTAATAACCCAGCGGTTGACAAAGGCAGCGGGTCTAGAGATAGGAATACAGCCGCACGGGTTTTATAAGGGGACGATGTGACACATGGGGTGGATAAATATAGGTATATTTTCTAAAACAAAAGATGGCCACGGATACAAGACCGTCCGATGAACTACGCTGCTGTTTTACTAGTTCGACCAAAACATTTTCTACAATCAGAATATGCACGCCACTGAACTTCACAATAACCATAGATTAGGAATGGCCGGGAGTCGAAGCAGAGCTTAGAAATTAGAGTTTGATGGCTCTCGCCCTGTCAGTAATGAACGTGGTAAGTATACAGAACCCAGCATTACATATTTAAATGGTTCGTCAGCTAGTAATGGCCTCCAACGGATTTTGCACATCACCTTACTATCCTAAGAAGAATGTATCTAAAAGATGCCCGTTTAGCTAGATGTTGTCAGCGCAATTGCATCATCAATTGTTTACTTCACACTCACCTCCCCTCTAGGAAAATCAGCTTCAAATCCAAGTTCGCACGGAACATGAACATATCACAGGCCAATCGAATTTCGGTTTGGTTGGAGTTCGGTGAGGGAATGGCGTAACCGAAAGCAATGAGGCCCAAGTTTTGATAGTACGGGAATCCGTTCATATTTACCGGACGAATCCTCAAATGGCCACTGCAATGGATTACCTGAAAGAAAAATGCCGCCAAATCATCAAATTGCACCAATGGACCCACGTTCCACCCTACTTACTAGTGGGGGGTGGATTGCGTGATTTGGGTCTACACGTAGTCGCCGATAGTTAAGTTATCCAAACAATGCACACACGATCACAAGTGCAAATGCCTTCCAGTCAGTGGTTCCATGCAGCGTTTCATCTGTGAACGATGCGACAACTGCGATGTACTGGCGATGTGGCTGAGCAATAAGTGGACGACCGTAAATGCGTTGTCATATACTGAGTGATACATCCTATCAAGACAAAAGGGGCAGGAATACCGCTTCAGTGATTCGAACCCTGAACAAACGATGGCAGACCACCAGCACTCCTAAGATTACTATGCACATTCCCCGAATTTTATATAATCTCTCCGGATGACTAAGCTGTAGGGATCGTCTCAAAAAATGTCGTTACTCTTATTCGTATCGATATCCTGTGTGGGAATGACTCTGGTGTGATACGGCACAGGCGAATGATGAGTCATTTTGGAACATCCATCCTACTAAACTGCTCGCACTCAGGTTGACAGTGAAATCCGGAAGCTACCGCCTTCTGAATTGGTGGCCTGTTCTTCTGTCGACTGCATGACGTTCGTAACAAACACACTGTCAACATATCCACTAGGTATTGCAGTCTCTGTAGGAATGACCGGCGACTTCAACAAGGATCAGATACGAATTCAATCCTTTAGGATTTCATGCAACGGAAAAAGGTCAACAGTTTATGCGTCACATCAAATTGATAGCTGAAAAGACACATGGATATGCAGATACAGCGGTTACGTCCGAAAGCCGAAACGAAACTTCAACTAAACTTCAACTACACCAAAACAGGCGAGGACTGCAAATGACGCATTTCATAAACCCAAAATGTTGGTGAGGTTGGAGTGAAGATGAAAACACAAGCTCACCTTGAAACCAGCCGTGGTGAGTCCCGCGTTTCTTTTGGCCAGCACACACTTAATCCGGAGAAAGAAGCTGCGTTCCAGGTCGAATTCTTTAGGAGAAAATGTGGACAATCATAACCAGTTGTTAGACGGGCTGCAAAATAGTTGGGCAACAAGTATCCTTATCCTGACGAAGACAACTTTAGACACTCCTAAGTGTGTGCCCTCCTGTATGAAAACACAACCGGCCAGAGGCTCGTTTCTACCCCCCCACCCCCACTCTCCAGTGTGTGCCCACGGTCCACCCCTCTCTTTCTGCAAACTCCTGTGGACTGGGACGGATATGTTCTCCTTTGTTTGCTTTAACGGCATCATTCATTTCATCGGATTCCGCACCCAACGGAACCCCGTGATGCAAACCGATTTCCAGCTGTGAAAATATTTAGCATCGATGAACTCTGGAGGAGATGGGATAATTGGTTGAGCTGGGACGATCCGTGTTTACAGGTAGAGTGGAGAGCATCAGGTGTTGTGAGCGCTCAGGTGCACGATATGTGTGTACTAAGAACATTGTGTTCGCCAAAATACCGATCTGATAGACGGAATGACTGGCGAGAGTAATTGTCGTCCTCCCTGTAAATCAAACCAGTATTGCGGCAAATGCTTTCTTTTCTTGTGCCTCCTAACACTGTGTTGATCTTCCACAGTGGGAAAATTGAATCCAGTATCATGCTTGGGAAGCGACTTTAATCTATTCAGTGGATGGGACTGGACCATGTGGAACGCTTGTCGTAGTTCACTAGAGAAACTGATTCTACGCTATCCGGTACAGCTGCGCCAAATGGGATCTGCATATGTTACACTATAATTAGGGGAGGGAAACGACAGGAATGGAATGAGTGTGCCAACTGCCTCCACCACGGGAACACTAATCAGTAGATCTGAATTTCTCTACCAATTGACCAAATGCTGTGATCGCCTGGGTAGTCTCCTACTGAACAATGAAATTCATGCTGATGAAAATCCCACTGTATTTCTGTGAACCATGAATTAGAACAGCGAAATGAGTAAAGCTTTTCAGAGGTCATCATCCTGTCATTCTGGTACAAATCACTGCATGCTGTTCCGAATGCTCTTAACGGCTCCCAAATCTCTTCTTTACTGCTCTATCAACCTAACTCAGTATTTGACCACTTCATGTAAATTATTTCACCGTCAATCCTTTCCCAAATCTAAAGCGTTTCTGAACACAAATCAATTGACTTCGGTTGTATTTGTGCAGCAGACTAGACCAAGTTCTTACGCGGTGCATATCGAGCACTGGTGTGATAGCAATTGGGGTGCTAGGTGCTAACCAACTCAATCTATCATACAGTTAGCATTTCTTCTCTGCAATTGATCGCTTTTTTGTACAAGCCGAATAAAAGGGGTGGAGCACACAACCTGGCAACGTATAGGCGCATTTGCCGCCAATGCAGTCTTACGTAAATCAGCTGGCCATAAAAAACCAGTCCAGCAGTGTTTGTCGGATTCGCTGAACACATTATGAACTTGTACCAACGAGTCTACTTATTACCAACTGAAGTAATGTGTTGGGTGATCAATAAATCAATACAGGCAATTTGGCTATCAAGTGCAAACCAGACAATATATGAATAGCAATGCGGGCGAATGCGACTGTTACCTTTCGTCGCGGTTTAATGTAAGCAATCTTCGATGCTCTGGGATGCACGAATGATTTAAAATGTTGGCCTTCAGCAGCTTCTACTTAAGTATTAGGACATAGGACAGATAAAATGTACAATGCTATCTATGTTGTGTGTGGGATAAAATCCCGAGCTTCGGCGTTCGTCGTTTCAGGTATTCCATCAGCAACATTTGTGCCATTGTGTGCCGCCAGGTTATGGCAAATTCAACAATCGCCAGTTAGCTACATGAACATATGACCAGAACTTGGACGCAGAGCAACGGCTAGACCGTACTGCAGCACTCATAGTTGGCATCAAACAATAAAATATTGCACCGCAAAAGTGTTTGCAATTTCGACACCGTGCACTTCAAGCAAACCACATGGAAATGCTGGATTTTAGCAACTGTGCTGTTAAAATTTTGTTCAGCTTGAGCAGAGCAAGGAGGCCGACACAAATGCAGTATAGAACGGTTTGCACAAATATTGATCTATTGCCACTCGCAGTACGTCCTTCTAGTGGACAGTCTTCCCTCTCGCAGTGTCGCTTAGATTCTTCTCCTCATCGCGTTCAGCTTCGTTATGCCTGTCCAAGTTGCGGAGTGAAGCACAGCAAACTTTCTGTAGTGGTTCAGTCTGGGATGAATTCGTTAGTCGAAGTGCGATATTTCCCACCAATTAAATTGACGCTACTATGTACCCTGCAATCAATGTCATTCAGTGGCACTGAGCATCCCCATCCGCTCGACAGTGATTGTTTCATCATCTCATGAGGAGATTAAAATCATTGGAGCCGATTTGGTCGGATCAGCCACTTATGGACAATAAGAGCCATGCAACCTGGATGATAAGGAAATTGAGGTGCATTGCAAGAACAAAGAAACTGGGTAGAGTTTCATTCACCAACGGATGTGGGACCGAGATGACACGGTCCAATACACCAAAGCCTGAAGAACAGCTACCTCTCACACCTTTCGTCCGCAGACCCGTTGAGTTCCAACGGCAGACGTGGGCTCAATGAAGTTGGACCTAGAACAGTCAAAGTCAGGGTCAGACAAGCCACCGTTTAACATAGATCAAGTGTTACCCTGAGAGGGTCGCTTTCAAGACCGAAGGACTGTTACGGAGAGAGCTTACAGCTAGCAATCGAGCCGAGAGCAGTGCTGTAAAAGTGCATCGATCTGCAATTAGAGATCGAACTCGACTATAGATCAAAATGCGAATTGATGCGGAATCAGAGGCAAGTTGGAGCACGAACTTGCACCACTTGAGTTGTGTTAATTAACGCCAACTAGCATCTTCAATATTGTTGTTTAAGTAGTTGCTCACAACCTATTTATTGGGCCGTGCTCTCATACAATGAGCCTCTCTGTTCACCGAACTTTGGTCTTCTGCATTCCGTTGGTGGGCTGGGCGCGTGACTGAGCAGTCAGACAGTCGCAATCTCAAGAGGCAGCTATCAGCAGTACAACAGTCGTCAGTGGCAGAGAGCAAAAGAAAGAAGCGTTTACAACAAGGACAAGATCAAATAAGGCAGTCAAACCCATGTAATCTACCAGATAAATTGCAGCGAATGTGATAAGCACCAAGAAAAGGGAAAAAACCCTTCCACACGGAACATAGACATGAGCAGGCCATACGAAGGCATGACTGCTATTCATTGATTTCGATATACGAGGACGAAGCCGGTTATCGTTTTGACCTGGAAAACGTAAAGATTCTATCACATGGGGATACGAAGCAGGCAAAAGAATTTTTGTAAGTATGGCACTTCACGAAGAATTCAATTAATTGACACGTTGAGTTGGATGCTATCTACGCCAATCTAGGTAACTTGGGCCACCACCGCTGTCGAGTGACATTAATGGAAAAGAACACCATACAAACAGCTTGGGCATCATTCGCAAACTGGTCATGGTCACGAGGCATGTGTCGAAGAGGCTATTTTCAAAGAGCACGTGTTCAAACGACTGCTGCCGACAACCTATAACAAGGTACGCGCGTGACTACCCGTTTCACACTTACGTAGCACCATGCATTAACGCACTAACTATGTCACCTTGACTGGTGACGTAACGTTTTCAACAAAACTGCCAAGCTCAGAGAACAGTTAGTCTAAAGACGAGCAATCTGGGCTATCTGCATTTGCTTCTGTGTCAGAAGAGTTGACTGGCTACTCCGTTGTGGTTAACTGTCCTGACACAGTACCGAACCGTTCAAACGGATACTGGAAAGACCAAGGTGGACGCGCTAAATATGACAATCGCAGTGAAAAACACAAAATGGGTGGCTTGAAGATGTTTTCAAAAAAGTTATTTGCCTATATTTTATTGATTCCCTGCGAACGTGGTGA